AAGAACAATTACCTCATCAAAAAAAGGTTTTCCTGGATTACTTGAATTATTTAATGATTTTAATACAACATCCTGATCTCCAAAATAATTAAACTCTTTTTTATTTTCATCATAATCATCAATAGATCCTCTTGTCCACCCAGCAATATAAATAGAACTGAATCCACCTTCAGTTAACTTTTCTACTTCATAAAATTGCTCATAAGGTATCCATTCTATAATATAATTTGGAAGAGATGAAAGCTGTTGACATTTTTGAATAAAATCATCATTTATCTCATTTCCAGATGTCCATGTACTGAAAAGGCTCTGTAAGTGTAGACTAATACACTTTTCACAAAATTTATCAGAGTATCTTGTTGTTATTTTACAATTATTGCATTCGCTTGGTTTACCATATTTAAAAATAGCTTTGTTTAATTCAATATTATAAATAAATTTTTCTCTACAAAATTCCTTTTCATTTTCTAATAGTTCTTTGTTTTTTTTTTGACTAATTGTGAAAAATAACTTTTTTCACCTTCAAGGTCAGAATCAGAAGTAGTTGGGAAAGCAGAATAAGTGATATCATTCATTTCATTATAAATTTTAGTACCAATCCTTTTCTGTCTTGTGTTAATAACTTAATAAAAGACATTTTAACTTTTTAATATTTTTTTAAAAAAAAATAATAATTTGATACGTTCCTTTTTTGTGCACTAATTTATATTACTGTTGTACGTGAAAATGAAATTGTGAATTCGCAATTCACATATGTGAAATTCAAATTTACATATATACGTGAAATTCAAATTAGCCGATCAGAATTTCACCCCACTCCATAATATTTCAATTTCACATAAGAAAAATTAAAGAAATTCGAAATACTGCATACTAATGTTCCAAGTGATCTGTTAAAGCACTCAAAAGAAGATTTAAATACCCGTAAGATTAAGAAGGTGAAAATTACAAGAAACAATTAAGCATTTATAATATTAATAATAAAAAAAAGTAAACCCAAATGCAAATTTCATAACCAACCAAATCTTTTACGTATAGCGAATTTTCAGGTTGAGAGTCAATTTTTTCCTTGTTTCATTTAAATATTTGGTTGAAATTTTATATTATCGTTCTCATAACGAATTAATTTCAAAACAAAGTAATCAATCACAATCAATAATACAGTCCCCGGCGAAAGTAATGGCGGTACAATGAAACATTATTTTTGCTAAGTTTTTATTAAGTAAATCGATTTTTTTATATTAAATAAAGTTGTTCACAATGAAAAATTCTACATATCCTAAAATTTTTATGAAGTTTAGTGAAAATTT